AGTTGAAGCAAAAAACAGACAAAAATGAGGAAAAAATAGACAAATTCATGGAAAAGGCAGACAAATTCATGGAAAATACAGACAAAAAAAGGAAGAATTCAAAAAATAATACAGGAACAAAATGCTAAAATAAATTCACAACCAGAAATCATACAAAAACAATTAGAAATCCAAAAGATAAACAACACGATTTCAGAAATGGACAGTGTCACAGAAGGGCTGAGGAGCAGGTTTGAAACGATGGAAGATAGGATCAGTGAAACTGAAGACAAACACTTGGCTACAACTCTGTTTGAGGAAAAATCAGAAAAAAGAAGGAAGAAAAATGAAGAAACCCTGAGAACTATGCGGGATACAATCAAAAGCAAAAATCTGCGAATGATCGGAGTTCCAGAACAGGGGGAGAAAACAGAAAACACAGAGAGGATCATTAAAGAATTGCTGACAGAAAACTTCCCCAATATCATGAAAGATGAAAAGCTGATCAACCAAGAAGCTCAACGAAGCCCATATAGGATAGACACCAAAAGAAAATCACCAAGGCATATCATAATCACACTCACTAAAACCAAAGACAAACAAAGAATCCTGAGAGCAGCTCAAGAAAAACAAAAAGTCACATACAGAGAAGAAACAATAAGACTAACCTCGGATTATTCGGCAGAGACCATGCAGGCAAGATGGCAATGGAATGACATATATAAAACCTTGAAAGAAAAAAATTACCAGCCAAGAATAATATATCCTGCAAAACTCTCATTCAAATATGATGGTGAAATTAGGTCATTTCCAGATAAAAAGAAATTAAGGGACTATGCAAAAACCAAACCGAACTTATGAGACTTATTAAAGGAAGTCCTTTGATCTGAGAACAAACAATATCAGACCACAGGCTGAATACAGGACACAAGATTGTACTAGCCAGATACTAACCTAGGAAATGAACTCTTAAGGACTATGTAAAACCAAAAGAATTACAAAAGGGAACCAGAGAGGTTATCTGTAAATGACAACAGCATCAGAACAATAAAAGAGGGAATAAACGGTGTAGGTATAGAACCTTCTAATGGAGAGGAAGTCAAGCGATACCAAGTAATGATAGACTGGTACAAATCTAGGAAGATAAGGGTAAATTTCACGGTAACCACAAAGAAAGTTAACAAACCTACTCATCAAAATAAAGAAGAAAAACATAAAGTCTCATTAAAAACAAAACCTACAAAAACAAAAGAAATGAAAAAAAATTCCACAAACAAAAGGAACTCAGCACAGGAAAGTAAGAGGAACAAAGAAAACGTCAGCACCACAAAAAAAAGCACTACAAAATGCAATCCCACTCTTAGGAATATATCCTAGAGAAATAAGAGCCATCATACTAATAGACATATGCACACTCATATTCACTGAAGCACTGTTCACAGTAGCAAAAAGATGGAAACAACCTAGATGCCCATCAACGGATGAATGGATAAAAAACTATGGTACACACACAATCGAGTATTATACAAAGATAAAGAACAATGATGAATCTGTGAAGCATCTCATAACATGGATGAAACTGGAGGACATTATGCTGAGTGAAATAAGTCAATCACA